TTATGCTACTAATAATTTCAATCATCTGAATAAATTTGTTAAAATATATTCATAAATAGCTTTATCTATGTTTGAAAGCAAAAATATTATTTAAAAAAAAATAAAATAATGAAGACAAATGCAGTTGCTTCCCCTTAGATATAATTTCTCTTGTGTGAGATTTTCAGATGATAATATTAAATGTTTCAGCTAGTTCTGTTGCCAGTCATTTTCACTTGATTTGTTAATATTTTTTTGCCATGCATTATCTTTTAGTATTGTTGGTATTTCAGCAAAGTAAAAATAATGATATTAAAACTGATTCTAGAGTGTAAAATATATGAAATGTAATCAGATCAATAAGATTCTGGTGTGTGATTTACTACTTTTATTATTGTAATTTTTAGATCTACAAATCAGATTTGAAAAGTTGTATTTAACTGTATTAGAAGTGCATATTTTAATGTGAAATATAATCAGTCCTATCTGCATGATAAAAATATTGATTTTTTTGCTATGCATTCATAAAGTGTAATTATAGTTTTCTCACTTACTTTTTTTTTATTAGAGATTCTCTGACTCTAGTTATCTATAAGTCTGTCACGTATATCCTTGATGTTTTGGCCAAGAAATCATTCCTATATAATTTTCCTCATGTATAGGTTGAGATCAGTTAGTGTAAAAGTTAAACTAATAAAACCATTTTACATCATTCAATGCTATCATACTTGCCATACATTTAGTTACTTTAGGTTTACTATGATGAGGCAGGGAATTGACAAAAGTAACAGCATTCAACAGCTGTTGGTAAATTTTGTTTTTAATATAGTCTTGTATTGATGCTACTTATATTAATTGTTAAATATCAAAAATTCAAATTTTGTATTTCTATTTGTTGATTTCAAGTATTGAATAAAGTTATTAAATAAAAGTATCTTAAATATCAATTTTAAGATCAATTAAATATCAATTTTAAGATGTCTATTTCATTTAGTTAAGTACAAAATAAACTAATGTGCTTTTATATATAAAAAACAATAACTAGAAACAAAAGTCTGTTTCAATTTCCAAATTTAAAAGTACAATGTTTATAGATGCTTAATATGTTTAGCTATATTTGACAAAAGGTCTCATTGTAGAGAGATTGTGTTGGATCTCCAATGTGGATGATGGTCTGCTTATTTTAAATATCATCTGAAATCTTGAGTTTTATTTGGGCTTGAACACTGACTACTTGTGCCAGAAAGAAATAGACAACTTTGATCCAAACAGATCCATGGAGTAAAGTTTTTGATCCAAAGTTAAAATGAAAATTCTGAAAAATTTATCAATAATTCCTGAAAGAAAACAAAATTACAATGTTAGAAAATTTTTAGGCGTAAGGAATCAATAAAATTTTTCTTTTCATTCCTACAGTGGATGTACATCAGCCTGTTTATATAAGTCACCAAATGGTTAATTTTTTATTTTTTCATGAATCCTATCTACTGACAGAATTTTAAAAAATGATTTCAGTTTTTGTATCAATACAAAAAAATTTTTAATATTTGTAATTTATCAAAACAAATTAGATTTATATTCTTGTATACTGGCTTTTTAAGCAATATCATAGTGGATTTTGTTACCATTTAAAAATAGGTTAAAAAAATCTCTTTTTAAAGGAATTAACAACTTCATTTATAAATTATTCAAGTGTTTGAACTATTTAATTACTTTGTATTGCTTCCCAATGCTTATGCATCTGTCTGAAAATTTATGTCACTTCCATTTTTAAAAAAATTCATCAATGTTTCCTATGTATTATTTCTTGGAGGATGAATCCCAGTGGTACCAACAACATAGTTGCAACAATCAAGCATAGTATATAGAAAGGTTCTTTTCAATAACACAATCATTCTATGCAGCCCTCTTACTAGAGGTGATCCCGCACAAGAAAAACAGATGGTAAAAGGTTATTCATAATGTCTCCTGTAAATATGGAAAGCAATAAGTAGAAACCAGTAATCTCCTTAAAGTCTGAACTCAAGCAATGTAAAGAAGCAATCTCCAAAGGAAGTAGATCATTCCTTTTGCCATTTAAAAATAAATAACCCATAAAATTTAAACCATAATTTTAGTTATTGTTTTTTTAAACTAAAACTTCAATTTCCAAGTACATTTAATTTGCACACACTTATAAGAAATGTTATTTATTTTTTTTTTATTGAAGTTCACTCACTACAGGGATCAAAAGATACTCAAGGTAAAATATTACAGTAAACAAAATGGTAGTGCTGAATGTGGTATGGGAGACAAAGTGGTAAGAAATGAAATTAAGGAGGAAAGCTGATGATTGACCTTTGACATGAACATGTCAAGATTGAAGAATTTTAGGGAAGCAACGATGTAGAAGTCTGTTCCAAAATGTGGTAGACACCAAAAATCTCTACACGGCCTTGTAGGTGATGAATTATTTTCCCTCTTACAACCTTTTTTCCCATAGCCCCTCACTATTCTATCGCTATTTCCATGGAAAGTGTTCAGATGAACTACCATATTTGACAGCATATAAGACACATGGGTGTATAAGATGCGTCCCAATTTCAGCAGGGCAAATCAAGAAAAAATTAGTAATTAGTAAAATTATTAGTAAATGGTACAGCCTAAGCTATATTTATGAGGTATTACTTTGGTTAAACAAGCCATGATTATAATTAAATGAAAAATAATAAGAAAAAAATAACACGAGCCTATAAAACCTTTATTATATCTTTTATATGATCTGTACAATCTGCGTCTTGTAAACGTCTTATTGGAATAATTAAAATATAAAAATTCTGATTGTATTTATACCAATGCAAATGGAAGTTTTATTGCAAGAAAAATATTAATGAAACAAATATTTTATAAATATATAATTTGAATTTATTGCATATAATTTTAGTGAAACAAAGTACTAATATTAAGCATGATGAAATTAATGAATATATGATAACACTTAATCTGCATAATAGCTTTTAATTAATGACAATAGGTATATAAAAGTTACTCTAGGAGTTGCCAGGTAGCTATCATGAATTTTAAACCTACATATGGCATATAAGACGTAGGGGAATTTTAAAAGATATTTTTAGTAAAAAAGCAGTGCATCTTATATGCCTATCAAATACGGTACATTCTTTGGTTTCACCAGTTCTAACCTTCACAGCTAAAACCCACCATGCCACACACATTGCAGCAAACTGCCCTCATTCCCTTCGTATTTCATTTGTGAGATGTAAATTCCACTCAAGCAGCTTCTTCCCACAAACCACTACTTTGAGGAAGCATCCTCTTGAAAGTCAGTTTCACAATCAACACAATTTTAACCTGTTAAAGTCTAGGGTTAACCATTATCTTCCCCACATATCCTCTTACTTCATAATCCTTTACCTAGTGTGGCTCTTGGTCCTTGTACAAGGTGAACATTATTGTATTAAAAAACAAAAGAAAAAACTGTGCCTGTAGAAAGCAAATATTAACAAATGTAAATTGAAAAAAATAATAAAAATAGTTTATTTTTTTATAGAAAAATGACCTTCCATTTTCCTTCTGGTTTGTCAAGCAGATTTTTCCATTTTTCAGAAATAAACCTACCATGGTTCATCAAAACATCACAAAATATTTCCAATAAATAATCACCACATGACAATAATAAACAAGTGTAACTGTAACCCATAACTGGTAATAATTTAAAGATAGCTAGCATAAGTAATCAGGCTAGAAGGACTCGGTTACAGAACCATTCAATGTAACTGTTGAAAAGTCAGGATCTGATCAGTAATACCAGTTTGGATTTTGATGTATTGAAAGTTACAATCTCCCCATTGAGCTGCTGTTAGAGCAAGGGCAAAGGAGAGATCAGCTGCTAAGATCTGATCATTTTAGTTTTTGGAAGTTCATAAACAATGGTATTATCTGCATAGATATTTACCAATGTTCTTAGAATTTTCTGTGGGAGATCATTTAATGAAAAGCAAAGAATACAACTGAAGATATAGCCTTGAAGGATACCTTCATTGATACCATAAGCTTCAGAAGATTGGCCATTCACAACAATCTTCAAGAAAAAAAAAATTGATGTTTATATAAACTCTTCTAGAAATTCCATAATTGGAGAGTTTGTGTAGCAAGACTTTATGCCACATTTTCTCAAAATCTTTTGAGATATCTAAAACAATCATTCTGATAACAAAGCTACAAGTAAGCACTTTACTGATTCCCGAGTGATGACATTCAAACATGAGCAGTGGATCTAGAGGAATAAAACTCATACTGTTTGTCACTCTGACTTCTGATGAAGTGATCAACTACTTCCTTGTTGATGAAAGATTCAGATGGTTTGCTAATGACACTGATGAGATGATACTGAAATGGCTCACCAGCATTCTTGAAAAAAGTGCAAACAGCTGAAAACTTTCCCAAATTTGGGAAACATTTTATTTTTCAGGCAACAGTTAAACAATTTTGTCAGAATTGAAGATAATTCTGAACAAAGGTTCATCTATCTTTGATGGTGTCATACTCTGTCAGTATTCCAATTCTTTAACTCAAATGAAAGTACTCAGTCCAACATCTGCAGTTCACATGGCAAAAACAAACATTAATTTTGTCTAGCTTGGTGCACCCATTCTCACATTTTCACTATATTCCTATTTTATATATATAAGTATATTGCCTGTCAAAAAGGATGGGATTATTAATTTATGAATTAGCTCTTCTTTCTAGGATTAGAGTGTCACTCCTGGCCATCTATCTAGCATCAGTTAAGTATATGTGCAATTATCCTAACTTACTATTTGAAAGTTAATTTAATTGCATGGTTTAACTTGTCTTCTGACCTCCAAGTTAAAACATTTAAATCCAAGCAGGATTCATTTAATTTAATGTTTACTTTACAGCAAAACAAACATAGAAAAAGGCACACTTCATTATTATAGATGCTAGTTGACTTAAAATAAATATTTTCATGATTAAAAAATATTTGGTTTTTCTTTTTTCAGATTCTCAGAAAACATTTGAAAAACTGATAATAAACAGTAGTTTTCGCTTATTAGAAGGCCACAGTAAAAGAATAACTGGAATGTGTTGGAGCAACCATAGTGAAGGGCATCTTGTGACTGTCTCTTTTGACAAAACTGCTGTGGTATGTTTTATTTTTGCTTGGATTTGAATAAAAATAATTTGCATAATCTCAAAGATAATCTGAAATTTTGTTACTTAAAGCAAAAAAATCTTTAATCATATTATTCCTTTGCTTTGTGAATTAAATATGAAAATAAAAATTATGTTTAGCTCAGACTAATGACCGTTCATGAGTTGCATTTTTTTTATATATATATATATATATATATATGTGAAAAGTGTATATAAATATATATATAAGTGTCTGACGATCGCTAAAGCGTGAAACCCAGGGTCACAAACTCACATCTATCCAACCAAATATATATATATATATATATATATTCTATGTCTACATACATGTGATGAGTTAAAATATTATTAACACCTCCCTTTATAAGTTACTGATGGGCCTGCAAAACAGCTTTTATTTGATCGGATATGTATTCTAAAAGACCTATAAATTTTTTGCTAGGATCTGGTAACAATGTTAACAGCAGGTTCTTTAACTATTGCAAGCAAATTTGTTAAAAAATGCTGCAAAGTGAACTTTCATCCAACACATAAGTGGTCAGTGGGATTGCGATCTGGACAGACTTTCCATATGAATGGTGGCATTAAGTGTATGGTGGCAGAACATAGAAACAATGAAAATTTAAAGAAATAAACAATTGTATTAATACAAAATACAACAAATGAAAAATCAGTGTAGATGTCTCTCATATGGAAAAAAAAAAAAAGATAAGTGAAGTTGTAAAGACATCCAGTGAGATATACGAAAGGAGAGTCGTGGTCTTTGGCAAGGTGGCAGTCTTGGAGATGGGAGATTGCTTTCTGACAAAGTCTGTGAACTCTGGCCAAGATGTCATCCAACTGCCAAATGTCCATTGGATTGAGTTTTTATATTCTTTTGTAGGCTCAAATTGGATCCAGTTTTTATTTTGTTTCTTTAGACAGGAGTCTGTGCTATTGGGTGGAAATTCTTGATTGTATTCTTATTTTTTTCTTTGAGTTTGGGAGTAAAAATGAAAAATATGTACAGAGCCTTACACAGTTGACTAAATTTGGATCAGTTTTGGGTGTTCAGAGCATTCACATCTGGCCAGTGTAGCATGAATCAGAAGGAGGTCTTGTTTTAGCAAGAATGGCCTTAGGAACACAGTGAAGTTTTCTTGATGTTTCTGAAACAATTCTTGTCCAACTGGTGCAATATGGCAAAGTGCATTGTTTTATCAAAAGAGATTATTGCCATTATAGAAGACTGTTTTGAAGGAGCATATCTGATCTCCAATGAAGTTGATGGCACTCAACAAAGTACTTTCCATATGAATGATTACAACCAGTGATTCCAAGTAAAACATTTTATAAACCATTACACTGTCTCCATTTGTTTGTTGGTTTTACACAGTGCATCCTGTCATTTGCCTCGAAATAATGATAAATATTTTACCCTAACATCCACCTGATTCAGGTTAAATTGAGACTCTCTGGACTAAGTGATCTTATTCAATTAACATAAACTTAATTTCAGCACTAATTTACCTGTCTCTTTTAGTAATATACATTGGTTAGCATGATGTACTCTAATTGACCTGTATGCAATAAAAGCTGAATGACCTGTTTGTTGTAAGACATTCCTTCTTTTCACTTTGATTAAAGTTGTCTACAAATTGTGCCACTGTATGCAGCCTTTCTGTTGGTTCTTGGCAGGAAAGTCTTTTTTCACATTTTGCATTGATTGGTCTTGACCATAGTGTTTTGTCATCAGTTGCAGCAATTTTTTCTCCTATTGAAACACTATTAATAGATACTCAACACAATTTTATATCAACATCCCACAAACTATACCATTTTGAGAAATGTTCTGATCACATCTTCTAGACATTGTAACCTTTATCAAAGGCTCTTGAATATTTCTTGTACCTAACTGCAACATTCAGCATATCAAAAATGAGGCCAACACCTCAAGGTTAGCTTATATGCTTATATAACCTTTGAACCTGACATGTACAGTTGTTACAAGACAATAGCTTGTCACATATGTTCTTCATTAAATCAAGATATTTATTTCTGTTGTGTAGAAATTAAAAATAGATATTTTTGGTAGAATAGTCTAAGTTATTGAAAAATGTAAAGATGAAATATTCAAGAATTAATCTAATTTCAAATAAAAAGAATTATTTTAACATGATAAAAATAATTTATGATGTTCCTGTGGGATGGGATGTTTTTGTAATCATTAAGCATAGATAAATATCAATCTTTTCCTCTTTTGAAATTATCTTTAAAGACAATTGATTTGTCTTTTTATCTTTACACACAATCTGTCAGACATATATAATAAAGTTCATCTGGAATGTTTTTATTCTTCATTATTTTATTAATATTTCTTTAATTTCTTTCCAGTTGCTCTTTATTGTAACACTTAGATTGTCATTAGGCAGCATGAATTGAACATAATTTTGGAACCCATCTTTCTGGAGTTCTTACTTTACTGATTATATTAGGAAAACAACTAATAATTATTATTTTCTTTGAATGTTTGATAAGCTCTCATCTTTGTTTATAGACACTACTAGATTTTGTTGTATGATTTGAATTTCTTAACTGAAGCATCGTCAATTTATCAAGCTTTTGGTGGCTTATTCATTGAAAATAAACATTAAAACTACATGACCAGATTTGAATTATTTTTGCTAATGGTGGAAAATATTTCATTTAATAATAAAATTGAAAATATATTAATACTTGTTTACAAATGACTGTAGAATGATGGTCTGAATAGTTGCAACAAAACAACTAAAATTAAGTAAAAGAATTACCAGACAAAATTAATAATTGACATTGCTTTATGAGAAATGTTAAATAATATTATGTTTAATACTCCTATTGAAATGTTTTTGTCACACATTTCAATGCTAAATACTGTCACTGATTTGAATTATAAAGGGATGTTTGAAAAGGTTTAAAATTGAAATTAAGAAAATAGTAAATGGATGTCATTTGTAATTAATAATGTACACTGGTGGTGTTAACTTAAATAAATTATTTTATTGACTAACTTTCTATATGATATATTGTACACAGCATACAATTTTGTAAAAGATAAAGTTATTGCCATTATTCATCCATTTAACCAATTTGTCTTTCTTTGATAGAAGTGTTGGACATTTGGAAGCTTACTTCACTGTGCTTCTCCAGACTACAGATGTCTTCTTTCAACTTAAATTTCTTGACATTGTTGTTAGCATCTTCTATTCAAGTTTTATTTGGTAATCTTTTACCACAGCTTCCTTCAGTGCTCAGTGCTGTACACTACTTTAACCATAACTTGTTTCATTGTATATGTCCAAGCCATCATATTCTTTGGATGGTCAGGTACAAATGGAAAGATTGTTTCATACCAGATGTTAAGAAATTGTAAAAGCCATTCTATTGATCTGTTTTTTTTTTCTTAAACAGGAAATATATATTTTTGATTCTTGATTTAAACTTTATCAAAATAAATAAAACTTAATTTTCAGTTCAGTTTTATGAACTGATCAATACCTCAGTGAAAACATTTATTCATTTCTGACAACTTTCTGTTTCTTATTTTATTTTCAGTTTTCATCCTTGTTATGAAAAACTAAACATTCAGATCCTTGTCTAAAAAATGGGTGCAATAATGAAAATGTTTAATTCCAGAACTTCAGTAAACTCTTAGTATCTCTGTGGTGATGTTTTTCTCTCCCTCTCTCTCTCTGGTTGGGTGGGTGTTGGTAGACATATTATCTACCCTTGACAAGTGCACAGAAAATGTCTTTTATATCTGATTACATGTCTTAAAAAACTCTAATTTGCTTCAAAAACATTTAACCCTTTTTTGTCCCTTGTAGGTGTGGGATGTGAAAAGTGGTGAAGCATTGGCTCGTTACACAGGCCATTCAGGTCGTTTGATGTGTGTCATTTGGAGCCTAACAGATCCAGATCTCATTTACACAGGATCAGAGGATTGCTGTCTTCATGCTTGGAAAATAACATTGAATAAATGTGATGCTAACTTATGTGAGTTCTTTTTTTTTATCTTCTCATTTTCTCTTTATAATTTAAAAAAAAAAAAAAAAAAAAAAAGTTTTTTTTTTTTTTTTTTTTTTTTTCATTTTAACTGGTTATTTCTGTCAATATATTTAAGATGACTGACAAATCATAACACCTATTTTTGAATTTATATCAGCAACTTTTTTTATATTTTAAAAACATTTTTCAAAATCACAATTAACCCACTATTTTCTGTTTCTTTCCTAATATTTCCTTGTTTATTTTTATATTTGTTTATTAATTATATATGTATGCATATCAGGTATAACAGCAAAATTGTTCAATTGTTAGATTAAGCTTTGAACCATTGTATCTTAGAAGTGACTAAAGATATCTTACTGGAATTCTCCAAGGTTTTTATAACACTATTGAACTCTAATTTGAGCAATAAGAATGTATAATTACTTTCCAAGCTTAACAGAAGAATTGTAATGAAATCAGTCATAAATGAAAACGACATGTTCATCATTAATTCATCATAGCTAAGGATCAGAAGCTCCTGAAGGATTGAAATAAAGTTCAAATATATATAATGTGTGTGTGTATGTATATATATATATATATATATATATATATGTGTGTGTATATATTCCAGGATCATTTTCCAACTTATTCAAAATGATCTTTACCCTCTATAAACTAACTTTCTGTGTAAGTAAGGTGCCTCACACATTTTATGTATGATTTTATTTTCAAGTCTTTTCTCACTACTCATTGGACTGTCATAGGTGAAACTCCTTTGTTGTTACATGCCAAATGTCTTATGGACTAAGTTGTATCTTTTCTAATTGATGCCTTTAGCTCTAAGTTGAGATGATCCCTCTTCCTGTTGTGACATCCTGATCCAGTTTTCCTCTCTGCTGTTCCCGCTTTCCTTTTAAACTTATTCACCATTCCCTTGATGGTTCTTGAATGGACTTTGAAGATGTAAGCAAGAGTATGGATGTTGGTACCATTACTGAATGCCTGAATGATCATTTTCTCCTCACCATTGCTCAGTTGGAAAGACATAGTGAGGCTGACACAAAAACGATTTTAACATGTTCACTTTCTAGATGAGTAACTCAGAGGGTTTTTCAGTGATTCTAATGATAAATAGTGTCAAGATGGCTAAATGTCTTATCTGAAAACCTGGGAAAAAGAAACTCAATTGGTTTAGTGTATTTTTTAGATATTAAACATTTTTTGTGATGGACAGTTATCTGTATAATTTGGATTTGGACTATTTTGCTGTTTAGTGTGTGTGTGTGTATATATATATATATATATATATATATATATATATATATATATATATATATATATATATATATATATATCTCTATTAGAAAATGCAGAAATAAAAAGTAATATCTTATTTATCAAATTGTGGAATTTCTACAGGTTCAGCAAAGATTTTATTATTTCATATCACTCTCAGACTAATGTCTATCTTTTATTTGAAAAGCTCTCTGAACAACACAAGATTGGATTATTAGTTTCATGATCTTGTTAAACTTTGGTGTTCTTGAAGAGATAAACAAAGTTATTTCCAAAGACTACCAGATGTAGTGTATATTATCTAAAGAGCATTTTAAATAAAACTTTGTAATAAAAAACACAAAAATGAGGATACTAATCTAATAATTAAGCTAAATAGATTAGTTCATTTCAGATTTGCATTGTTTATTCATTGTTTGTTGCTTTGAATAAAGGGAAGAAATGAAGAATTTAAGTGTTGATAGATTAGTGGATTAGCAAATTCCATATATAAGCTATCTTCTCAAGGAAAAGTCTTGTAAACTTGTCTTATTAAGGTGAAAGAAATACTAGTCAAAATTGATAGATAGATTTGGGGGATTTTGAATTTAATACAAATTTATTACACAACTCATTAAAAATAGCCAGGGAAGAGGTAGTCAAAATATTTTTGAACAAACAAATTAGTCATTTTGTGAAAATACAGTGCTTGGAGTGGAGAAGAAACCATTGTTTTCTAATGCTGTGAGATTTGTCTATTCATTTTATTCTGGTCATATGTAAAACTGTGACATTGATATTTCATAAATAACAGCCTGGCAACAGAGGCCTTTGTATTCTCAGCCATTCATTCTATCTTTGAATATACCAAAATTTCATTTTTATCCAAACTACTACTTTGTGACATATGCCAATAAATTAGGAGTTTATTCTATTTCTGTTAAATAACCATCAGATATAAGTTATAATGATTTTTTTTGTCTCAACCAGTTTCTTGATCACCAAAGTTAAGCAATTTCTTGTCTGGTCAGTATAAAATAATTTCCAGCAGTTTCTCTTATCTTCATCTTGTAAAATTGTTAATTCCATCATATAAATTCTTGCTACTTTTATAGAATTATCTGTTAACAATACGTTGTAAACCATAATATTTTTGTGGTGATATTTATTTATTAAATTTGTGAGTATGGAAGTTTTTGATTAATCTGGAGAATTAAAGAAAAGATATTATTTTGATTATTTGTATTGTAGTTTCAATTCATTCTTCATTTGAGTATTTAATTTATATTTGCGGATTGTGTATAGGATGTGGAAACAAAACTTGCTGTAACCTAAAGCTTACTGGGACATAAGTAGGCCTCTTAAGACAAAAGGATATTCATAAAATTTGTAGATTATTTATCCAATGTTAATTGCATTATTTTCAATTATAGCCTCAGCATGAGCTTGAAAATTTGTGCAACTTTTAGCTATGAAGTTATTGAACATCTTGGTTGACTCATCATTGTTAGTAGCTTGAGGATTGTGAGGCCTTGTTGATGGCCTGCTCCAAAATGCATATTGTCAATTGGGTTTAGTTCCAGCTGGAAGAAGGCGAGAAAGCATCAAAATTAGCTTTATACAATGTACTTTCTTGGCTCTGTGGTTGGGAGCACTATCCTGAATCCCTCAGAGCAGTTGGATTTTGAACCATGTCAAAACACAGTACTTAAGGACCTTGTCATAGGCACCTACCTTTTCATGAAACTTGTAGAAGAATGAGGTGGGAGATCATCTTTTTCTTGTTAGAAGCCATAGCAAACCCAGGCTGTGAACTGAACTGGATGTTTAGTCCTGAAGGTCTCTTTGATATCATTTGTTGACACCATGATGTAGCAGTATTTTCAGTTGTTCAAAACATTATTCACTTTGAAGAATATTTTGCCAGTGGACCCATGATTCTTGAAATACCCAAGAACTTGCATGTTTCAAGCCATCAGGCCATCATGGACTCCATGAGGAGATGTCTTGGCATCCTGGTAAATGATTTAAGGTCCATGACATTATACGCGCCCAATGTGATGGTATTGTGATCCATTTTTAACTCAGCAGCTGTTTCATATATGAATTTGTTGGATCCATTGTAATTTTAGTTTCAAAGGTGTCAATGAAGGCCAAATTCCACTTATTGTTGACTTTGCTTGTTCTGGATGTTGCAGCCCATGTCTATGATCTTCTTGACATTGGAAGGAGAGCGAGTGAGCAAGCAATGAGACATCAATTATGTTTGCTATCATTGCTGTTTGATCTTTTGTGAATTAATTTTCCATGATATTTCTGAAAAAAAGGTGTGTATTAATAACTATCAGTATCCTTTTTGTTCAGCATTTGATTTCACATCATTAGGTGGGGAATTTTCGTTTAAATTTTACTTCAAGTTTTGTTTCCTTAGCCTGTATGTTTTAAAGTGATACAGATTAAGGAAAAAATGTCATATTGGCACTCCATTTTGAAATCGGTCAGAAGTTCAAAAAGCATCAATTTATTGGACAGTGTTTTTTTTTTTTTTTTTTTTTTTTCACTATTTATATTATTCGGACTATTGTCCCCACCTATGTTGCCATGTTTATCATAAAACTCCGCCCTTCTTCAGGTAATTGGAATGTCTAACTGAACCCTTTATTTTGCTCGTTGGGGTAGACTATTCTAGTTCCACGTACCATGTCTAATGAATGTCAGTTATCAGTTATCTCCTGTTAATTCCCCTCTCTAAGTTCTAATGCCTTTATCCACACTGCCATGTGTCCTTGAGGATACATGGCACAGTGGATAAAGGTGTTAGATCCAGTGACAGGACTCAAAGAGTGTGAGTTCAATACCTATTAAGGTGGTGGAGAACTTGGAGAGGGGAATTAACAGGAGATAACTGATAACTGACATCCATTAATCACGACACATGGAACTAGAACAGTCTACCCCAGCAAGCGAAATAAAGGGTTCAGTTCGACATTTCAACCACCTGAAGAAGGCCGGAGCGTACAACAGCCAAAATGTTGTGATAGATATGGCAACAAAGATGTGGACAATAGTCCAAATAATGTAAATAGTGTATATAATACCTCATCTCAGAAATATAGACAGATGTTCTTTTTTCATCAAAAGTTATTTCTTGAGATTTCATCCTGAAGTTTTTGATTTGACACAAGGATACAATGTTGGATTTAACAGAAGGGAATATTTTTTTCATTGACAAACTGGTAAGCAAGACAAGCTTGTTAATTGTTGCATGACAGTAGAAATCTAATGTTAGCATTTATGTATATACAAAAATGTTTAGGTAAATCCGATGTGCATATGATTGATATGATGGTGAGTCACTTGTTTATTGTTTAGTAATTAAAATGTGGTCCTCATAAGCAAGTCATATTCAGCAAGTTCTTTGGAAAATGTTTTCTGTTCTAAGTTATTGGTACAATTCTACAAGCATCCTCATCCTCTGTTTTTATCATATTTCTAATGATGTCAGCTGAATCCTGCTAAAACCAAAGATGAGAAATCTACTTTGAATAACTTTGGAGAGGAGGGAGGTTATAATGATGATGACTCCTTTCAGGCTAGCTAGCGTTTCTCAAGTAGTCAACATGGGTTAATGTTTGTATCTGTTGCATTATGAGGTCAACATGGAATCAGGATCACTTTTCTACTTTTATGAAATAAAGAAGGTTGAAGAACATGCCTGTTAAAATATTGATAAGAACAATAAGGATACCAATCCAAAAACACTTAGAATTCTGCTGCTTTATGCAGAAATATCTGCTATTTATAGATGTTTTCTGTTGCTATAGATATCACATATGATATATTGGAGATTACAATGACATTATGAAAATGAGGACCATCAAGGGAAAAAATACTGAGAAAAACAGTAATATCAACTGTTTCTTTTTTTCTGACTTAAAAGGTGAATTCTCCAACTTTAATATTATTTAAGGCAAGAAATATGAAAATCAGTTTTATTGTGTTAACAGACATTTGCTTTTTTTATTTGCTTACCTTAGTCTGGTACAAGTTAGCATCATATTTCTTTCTGTAGAATTACATGTTATATACAGATGGTCCTTGACTTCCGGCGGTTCCTACGATCCATTGTAACATGATTTTCCTGGCTAAATAGAACATAGCCAAGATTTTTTGTGAATAAACACTTACATCACTCACCTATGTTAATGCATTACTATATATATAATTGTTTTAAGCTGCTTGTATATTTATTGCCAGTGATTATCATTGGCTCTTGGTAGATGAGATGACGAAGTATAAGATCTTGTCTTTTTTGTGTTGTATGTATGAAGCAAATAGTATAAATTTAAACAAGATTAATGGAAATTGTGTTGTAACCACAAACTGTTGTAGGTCGGTAACTTGGGGGCATGTCCTATTTTATCATTAATGTTTATATTGATGATATTTATTCCTCAAAAAATCCCTTCCTTGTTTTTAATGTGCAACATGGAGATTGAGTGCTAAACAAATTTTAGTTGAATATTGTTGAATTTGGTGAAATAGTCAAATTTCCCTTTTCAGTTTCTCTTATAACCCCCACTCTCATCTCTCATCTTAGTCCATTGAACAACTTTACCCTAGAACAATATTAAACAACCATAGTTTTTCTGAGAGCTGAGTAAGAATATTCCTCTTTTTACTCTATAGTTGCATCACTGAAATTAATATTTTGTGTTTTTGTTTTCTTGGGGAAACATTTCTTTCTCTCCATGTGCCATATTCCATTGGGATATAGGCAGTCATGGTTCTTCATAGCTTTCTGTCTTTTGCTTTTATTTGTTTTATGATCCCTCGTTATGTGTTCCACCATTTGCTGCACCTTTCAAGTTGGTTACCTGCTGCTTTCTTCTATCTTCTTTTACTTTGTGTTTTGTGAATATTAAATTTTCCAAGCCTTTTTTCCTCATTATGTATTTCCTAAATCTCTGCTATCCTTCAAATTTTTAACAGCAGCTTCTTTGTTGTTTCTATTCTTAAAATGTCCTTATTTGTTCCATGCTGTGGTGTTGTCAATATTCATTGGTTAAACCACATCTTGATCACTTCAAGTCTTGTCTCTCTCTCTCTCTCTATATATATATATATATATATATATATTAACCAGCTTTGACTGCTATGTTGGAGGATAGACATTACATAGGAATCCAGCATGATGGGCAATGATCATTTAAGCATTTCATACCATAACCCAAACAAATTTACTAATAGAAGGTAACAATTATGCTTCCCTTCCAAGGCTAATGTACTGCTGATGACATAGGTATTCATAGTTGGGACAAGAATGACCTTGAACAGAAAATCAACATTCTGTACCAAGTGTGTCAAGAAATAGGACTCCAAAATGGAAACTGTGATGGCATATACACTGAATCCATAAAACATCAGGATATGGATTTAATAAATACCAAACACTTCAAATATCTCAGTGTATGGTTATTTAGCATAGGAGATAAAGAAATTGAACATAGAATAGGCTGTACAAGAGGTAATTTTGTGCAATACCACAAGTTGCTACAAAACCAAAACATTAGCCTGAAAAATTGAGTCTGGTTCTTAAATAGCAGCATCAGATTGAGACTTTCAGATGGATTCCATGTATGGTATTAAGCCTGTTCAGAAGTGACTAAACTGTAGAGCTGTATGTAATCACTTTCTAAGATCAATAGTTAAAAATGGTTTTGAGTGAATGAAGTCTATGGGTTGTGGTGAAGGCTGCACATTTTCGAACTTTGTAGACTGGTGCTATAGAATCATAAACAACTGTGCCAAATAACACAGACCACATCACTTGAGGACTTCCAATTTCAGCAACAACTAAAATGGATATCACATAACTTGAAGAGAAAATGATATAATGGAGATGTTGACATACCACACTACATCAAATAGAAAGTTAGGAAAGAAACATCCATCAATACTGGAATGAGCAATAATAGCTACTGGACTTGAGAAATTTATTATTTTCCTGAAAAATTGTTTTAAAAGAAAGGTTTTATAAATTTCAACTGTCAGTAGTAATGGCTGCCCGATCAATGAATGCTGAATGATTCCTTATAAGGACATGGCTAATGTTATCAATACCAGAAAATTGTTAAGTATTAAATGATAATTAGACAAATAAGAGGTTTATTCATGCAGAAAAGCCATTAAATACAGGACAAAAATCTTTGTATCTGTTTGCGTGTGTTTATATGTGAAGATAATGAGATAAGTTGAAGAGTTATAAATAACATGTTTCATTAAGAGCAAACAAACAGGTAAACACACAAACTCTCTTTCTGGGTTCTGGTCATTAGATTTGTTTTATGGTCACCACACTTACCTCCCTCAGAGATCAGAATACATTTTTCTTTACATAAAGTTTTGTCTTTCATTCTAACCAAAGGGAGCAGACACCCCTTGTGAAATGCATTTTATTTATATATATATATATATATATATATATATATATTTTTTCCACTTTGTCTCATTTTCTTCATTTCCATTTTGAATACTATTATACATCCTGCAAACACACACACGCACACACAAAGTTGAGTCCAGAGTAATTTCTGGGAACCAATTGTAACAATAAATGTGCCATTCTAACTACTAATCATGTATAACAGTTAAGAATAAATTTGACATGTGCGAGCATATTACAGTGTTCAATGTAAAATGCAGCATATTGACAAGAATAAATCTCCATAGCAATATCAAAAGTTGAGCTCAGGATAAAGGTAATGTTGTGTGATCATCAAGGCATTATTCATTTAGAATTCTTAAAATACAATGAAATACTAAATGCACATTTATACGTCCAGCAACTGCAACATGTCCATAAAAGTTTGGTTAAAAAACACCTTGCACTTGTCACAAAAAATGTTATTCTCATTGATGACAGCACAAGGCCACAATACAGTAAGAATAACACAGCAAAAAAATATCAACTCATTTGGTCTCTTCTATCATACTCACTATATTCACCTGATCAACCAATTATTACCTTTTTATTGCTTGCTTCAAAATGCTTTGATGGGGAAAAGCAGAGGATAAAACTAAGCTATAATATATATATATAGTGTATATTTAGACAGCAATTTTTCATTGATGCAAGTTTTGTCTATTTATTTTAAGTAAGTTCCTTTCATATTGTTTGTGGAGATTTTGTAATTTATTTTGTTCAGGTTAGGTTTCAACTGTTCAACCCGAACAAAATAAACTATGAAATCTCCACAAATATTCTTAAATACCTATAATTGGTAACAGAAGGCATTGGTTTATACCAACGGCTTCCCATACTTAATACTTCTCGTTTTCACTCTTGCGTGGTCATGTGTGACGTCACAAGCTGTGACGTGATTTCCGCTTCCGTGTCTCATATATTCTGTGTTAGTCGTTGCTTTCAAATTTTTCATGCAACGAAAACAGACTATCATTATTGTTCTGTGTATTGGGTGATATATTGAAAAGTAATTGTCATCTTTGATAATATCTTATGTAAGCCGAAAGCTTAGATTGGATTTAAACATGTATCAATATAGTGATTTCCTTTCGTTCTTCAATGATAATGTTATTAAACTTATCAGACAATATGAAAGGAATTTAAATAAATAGACAAAACTTGTCCATATTGAATGAAACATGAAACATCTCCATCCATCTATCTATCCTATCTATCTATCTATCATCCTATCTATCATCTATCTCCATCCATCCATCCATCCATCTATCTATCATCCATCCATCTATCTATCCCATCTATCCATCCATCTATCCCATCCATCTATCCATCCATCCATCCATCTATCCCATCCATCCATCCATCCATCATCCATCCATCATCTATCCCCATCCATCCATCCATCATCTATCCATCCATCCCCATCTCCATCCATCCCCATCCATCCATCCATCCATCCCCATCCATCCATCCATCCCCATCCATCATCCATCCATCCATCCCCATCCATCCATCCATCCATCCATCCATCCATCCATCCATCCCCATCCATCCATCCATCCCCATCCATCCATCCATCCCCATCCCCATCCATCCATCCATCCCCATCCATCCCTATCCATCCATCCATCCATCCATCCCCATCCATCCATCCATCCATCCCCATCCATCCATCCATCCATCCATCCCCATCCATCCATCCATCCCCATCCATCCCCATCCATCCATCCATCCCATCCATCCATCCATCCCCATCCATCCATCCCCCATCCATCCCCCATCTATCCATCCATCTCCATCTATCCATCTCCATCTATCTCCATCCATCCATCCATCCCCATCTCCATCCATCCATCCATCCCATCCATCCATCTATCTATCTATCCCCATCTATCTATATCCATCCATCTATATCTCCATCTATCCCATCTATATATATCCATATATATATCCATCCCATCTCTATATATATCTATATATATCTCATCTCTATATATCTATATATATCTATCTATATCTATCTATCTATATCTATATATATATCTCTATCTATATCTATCTATCTCTATATCTCTCATATCTCTATCTATCTATCTATCTATCTATCTCTCTATCTATATGTATCTATATCTATCTCTCTATCTGCATGTATCTGTATGTATGCATGCATGTATCTGTATGTATGCATGTATCTGTATGTATGTATCTGTATGTATGTATCTCTCTCTATCTCTCTCTCTCTCTCTATATATATATATATATTAAATCCAACAAAACATTTGAACAAGTAGGAAAAAAATTCATAAATTTAATGTTTGGCTATCTTATTTTGGTTTCATTAGAAATTGTAGAGAATGAGTGAAAACTGAGTTATTTTAATATTTTGAATTCTAAGTTGTTTGTTTTGGGTGGATAAATGTCACACATTCATTTTTATGCAGCATTAGTATGTATATATAGTTTAGAAATTTTCCTTTGGTCTAGAAAATTCCTGGCTTTTTATCACTGAAACTCTGAAGTCAAAAAAATTTTTATCACAAAATTTAAGATTGTATATTCTCTGGCTTTACTTTAACATAATGGATACAGTATCTTTTTGGAGAAAGAACTTTTTTAAATTTGGTGCTATTCTGTAAAATATGTGCAATAATGTATTTGATAATCCTGTTATTCAATAAATACATATTTTTTAAACTATTTTTTCTAACTTTTCAATTGAAACAATTTACAAATCCTTTCATGTTTGAAATATTGGTTTTGGTCTATAAAGTTAATTTCTGCACCAAAAAAAAACTTATTCAAGATCTGATAAAAATGTAATAATTTTCTTTTACATTCTGCACCAAAATTTGTTTATTCTTCAACATATTTAATATGGAATGTTACATAATTATTTAGCTTGTAAAGATAAATTTTTGAACACTCTAGGTCATTTTCTTGACATTTTATGTTTTGCAAAGATGTCAAATTAAACCAATTACATTTTTCACTTGGTTTCTTCTCTTAAAGAGAACATCACTTTAGGGCTAAAACGTAGATTTTATGAAGTTCTCTTAAGGTTATTTTCTTGATTAAGATATTGGTATTAAGTTAATCCTTAAAGTCCTGTGGTATTAAAATTCATGAAATAGCACAACTTTTATCAATGTCAAATTCAAAAGACTTTGATAATTTGATGTGAACTCCTCCCTAGCCAAAATCATGCTCAAAAATTAAATTTGTATCCTGGTATATACAAAAGTCTTTATTTTCTCTAATTCTGTTATTTTAAAAAAAATTTTTTTTTATTTTTTTAATATAAAATCTTTAAAAATGGTTTATAGAAAATAAAATTGTCCCTCAAAAGTTGAATAAAAGAACTTTACTCAGACCTGGACCATGTTACTTGTAAATGTTATGATATTCATTTAATAAAATTTAGTATGGTAATAAAATAAGAGATTAACTTACTTGCAATCTTGAATTAAAAATGAAATCATCTAGAAAAGATGATTTTAATTATAATTTAGGATTGTTTAACACATAGTAGCCTCTTTAATGTCTCTTTTCTCCTCTGCTTTTTTCTCATGTTTATCAGCAGTGATTTGTTGAGATACAATTTGCATTACTCTTTTCAGATGAGTTCTTAAAAACACATAATCACAGGTTTTGGTTTTTATGATAGATGTTTAAATGCATAAATATTTGCACAGAGAAACTGTATTCATCAGACAATTTTATGATATTTAGAATAAAAGTTACTCTGAAAAACACCTTGATAGGTAAAGTTGCATTTTTTTTTTTTAATATATATATATATATTTCAATTTTTATGCAGCTTTTTTATTTATTTATTTATTTTTTTATTACTAATGTTAACCCTATACAAGGCACAAGTGCCACTCAAGGTAGATGTTATTGAAGTAGGTTGTTTTGCATGTAGTAAGAGGAAAAGTGAAAGATAGAGGTTAACCCTAAGATTAAGATTATAGTGGTCAGAAAAGCAACATAGTAGTTCAGGTGGAACTTATTACTAATGGAATGAATATGGTTCAGTGAAAGTTGGTGGAACTAAATAATGTAGCTTGTTTGAACTTGTTTTTTTTTTTTTTGTGGAAATAGCCTCTAGCTACTCCAACTGACTTCAGTTCTTACATGGCAGAAGATCCTCTTTGAATGGATCATTTCTGTTGTCCTCATCATTATTTTATTATCATATTCATGACGTTTCAGCCATTGTATGCTCTTGCCTTCTTCAGGTGATTGGAATAAACTGAACCCTTTACTTCGTAGATTGTTCTAGTGTCACGTTCCATGTCTCTTCTTTAATTCAACTTCGCCACTGCAGGTATTGATCTCAAAACTCTTTGGATCAAGTCAATGGATCCAACCAAATTACCTGAACAAATCTGGGAGAATTGAATTAGAGATAATTGAGACATCTGGAGACATGGCATGTGGAACTAGAACAATCTACTGTGGTGAACAAAATAAAGGGTTCAGTTCGAAATTCAAATCACCTGTGTGAGTGAGTACAGCAGTAAAGATGAGGACAACAGTCCAAACAATTCCAACAATAACCAAATATCTGGTTCACTCCTGAATGGATATAGTTCACCTATAACCAATACAATATCAAACACAGAACAGTTGTGGTAGGATACTTACTGCATTCAGAACTGCTTGCAATGATTGCAAGAGTTATAGAAAATGCAAAGTGCACAAGTAATTCAGACCAAGGTCAGAAACGAACAACTTGGATCTCAGGAGTTCTGGAAAATCTCAAACCAAATTCTTAACAGGAGTCTGAGGTTCTCACCTTGTCAGATAAGGCAAAACTCTTCACTGTGATCTTTGCTTCTAACTCCATGTTAGATGACTAAGGCTTCTTGACTTCACTCTCATGGAGCACAAACTTAGTAATGTTTCTATTACAGCCCTGGAAATTACTTGACTTATCAAAAGCCTTGACCATAAGAAGGCTACCTGTTCAGATAAAATCCAAGTGTTTGTCTTTAAGAATATTAACCCTAAGTTATTCTCAATCTTAGCAAATTAATTGCTGCCTGAAGGAGAAATTCTTTGCAAGTCAGTGGAAGGTGTCAAGTGTATGCCTTATTTTCAAGAATGTGGGTAAGCATTTATCCCCATCTCAATATTGGCCCATCAGCCTCCTTAGTGTCATCAGTGAACTGTTTGAGGCTATAACCAATAAGAAGGTTGTTTCTCACCTCAATAGGGACAATATCTTGAACAACAAACAAAGATTTCATTTGGCTTGGCTCACTGCTGTTATCCTGTCTGTCATTACTCACAGAATCAGTGAAGGTATTAGACAATAAATACTTCTCAAGGATTATCACATTAGATATTTTAAAAGCCTTTGATAAGAATGACATAGAGGGTTGCTACACATGCTCTCCAGCTATGGAATCACTTGCAGAGTTTTCTCAACTATCAAGTCCTTCCTAATGGGTAGGTCCATGAAGGTAGTTTCTAGCGATCAGGCCAAAATTGGAGTACTGCTACCATATCTAGTCTGGAACTTCCCAATCTTCACTTTTCAGTTTTGAGACCAAAAGCATCTACAGTGTTTCAGCTTTATCAAGGTCTAGGGTGAGCTTAACCTTTAGCATGCATTTTTTTTTTTTTTTTTTTTCTTTAGGTGCACAAAAACATGAACACCTACTGTTTTAAATTGTTATAACTTTTTGTATTGTTCGTATAGATTTTACTTTTTTATATACTAATAACAGAATAGATGTTTAATATTTTAATGTAATGCATTATGTTTTACATGCATGTCTTGATGTTGAAAACAAAAAATTGAAACAAAATAAAAAATACATTAACAATTTAATATACTTTAACTTTTATTAATCCTTGTGGAGTTCTGAGGTGCAATAAGAAGCAAAATGGCTAAGAAGGCCGTCATTTTGTTCAAAAAAGTGATGTGCTTCATAGTTTACATGCAAGAAGACACCAGCATTTGTTTGGTCTTTCTTTCACCTGATTAGCATATTGATTTGTTTTGTTGACAAAGAAATTATTTTGTTGTTTATAAATAGATGAAATAATTCATCTTCAGAAAAGCTATCAGGTACATCTATGGGGCCGGTAGCTTCCATAAAATTAGTCAACTATGGATGATAGTATCTGCTCAATATCTAATGATCATCACTTTCCTTCACGTCACTCATCTTTGACCACTTCACTGTCAATATGCACTTGAGTAAAGCTCTCAAAATCATCATCGGAGTCCGAATCAAAGAAAAACTACTGAATAAAGGCATCGTTGGATGTTGATATGGCCATTTTTATTTACAAATAATTGTGAAAAAATTAATGTGGGTTTAATTGATGTTATACCTGATGTAGTCGAGAAGAATTCAAATGACATTGGAAAATGGAAATTTAGCCTCATTCCAAAGCAATAGTAAGTGATTTCCAGCTTAAAATACCGGAAATAACAGTTAAGTCTTTATTTATAGCAGCCGTCTCAAGGTGACAGAATGTGTCTACAGCTGCAAAGGAAGAGAATTCTATGGTGACAATTTTCACCTACAGTGATAAAGGTTAAGTCCCAATAGATGTTCAAGGTAATTGACCTCCTTATGAGAACACCTGTTCATCCCAATAAATGAAAATTTAGGGTCTGTCCAGTGATGATATAATGTTACTAGTTTGGTTTTTGAGGTATTGAAAGTTATCAGCCAATCCCCCCTCACACACACCATTTAGTTATGTCAAGTGGATTCAATACTCTAATGCCACTGATCTTGCTGGTGTCCAGACTTTGAACTTCTTAATTACTCAATCTCTCACTCAAATAGTAGACTTCCCTATGTGTTTCACTAATAACTCTGATGGACATGCTTCTCTACTTGATCTCTTCCTTACCTCCACACCGGAATCAGATAGCTCTATCCTCTAGGCAACTCTGATCACATTGTAGTGGTATCTATAGCTATCTCTTTCTGCTCTCTTATCAGGCAAGAATCCTATTAACAGAACATCTTTTTGTTATCAATGCACTGATTGGGACTCATTTTGTGATTTCCTTTGTGATGTCTCTTGGATTGATATTTTTAATCATCCTGTTGAGAAATGTGCCACTGAAATCTCTTTCTGAGAGAAAGCTGGCATCTTAGCTTTCATACCACCCTGGAAATACCATATGAAACCACAATTTCCTGCTTGGTTCTCACCTGCCTGTTCAACTGCTATAGCCCACTAGCTATACCAGTGTTACAGGTCTGGTTGTAATAGATGTCTCTTTCACTGCCTGTAAAGAATTTAAGCATGTCCTGAAAGAGGCAAAGTCATTTTGCTGATAAAATAAGGTACCATATAGTTTTTCACAAGTTTGGTTGTACAGATTATTGGTGGCTCTGCAAGAGTGTACTGAACAAGAACAAATCCCCAGTTCTTCCTCCCTTCAAGCAATTTGAAGTGTTGTCATCTATTTCTGATAAAGTGCTTTACCTGGAAATTCTCTTCCAACTCCACTCAACTCATCTGAAGTATGTCTGCCTGATTTTTCCCCCCTAGAATAGTCTGCTTCCATGGTTTCTGCTATCATTTCTAAACTAGATCCCTGCATGTTTTTTGAACTTGATAGTATCCTTGCAATTGTCCCAAAGAAAGGGGCTCTGGAACTGGTTCCTGTTATCTCCAAACTTTACATTAAATGCTGGACTAGTTCTTGCTTTCGAACTTGTTGGAAGTCAACAAAGTCTGTGGTTCCTGTTTTTAAGATCCATCTGACTCCTTGAATTATAACCCTATTAGTCCCTTACTTCTTTTTGGCAAAGTATTGCTTTAATCAATGCCGAATTGGTTACTTCACACAACCTCCTTTTGAATAAACAATATGGCTTCTGTTTCTCCAGGCCTACCACTCTTGTGTTAATGAATTTGTCTATCAAGCTTTAAATAAGAACAGCAAAGCTCAGGCTGTGGCCCTAGAAATCTCAAAGGTGTTCAACAAAGTTTTACATGTTGGCCTGCACGACAAGTTCAAGGGCTATTATGTTTCTGGACAAATATTTGACTTGATCCAATTGTTCCTAATAAATTGTGTAATGAAGGTCATGTTGAATGAACATGCTTTTAGTTCATTTCATATTAATGCAGGGGGCCTCAGGCTTGAACTGTGGGCTATGCTGTTTTGTGATCATTATCAACAACATTCCCAATGTCATTAGTTCCCAAATAGGTATCTAGGCAGGTGGCTATTTACTCCTGTCTTAGTAGCAAGTGTGATAGATCCGACAAAGTAAAAGTCACAACTGCTCTTGAAAATGACCTCCAATCGGTGGTTAATTGGGGTAAGGAGTGGTTTGTAAACTTTAATGCCTCCAAAACAAAGCTGCTTTCAGTTAGACCCCATAGAAAACCTTTTCTGCTTGCCATCAATATGGCTAATGCTAAACTCCAGTGGAGCAACATTTTGTGTCTTCTTGGGCTCATGTTTTCAGCTGATATGAAGTGGAGTGATTATATTGAATCACTTACTAGATCTCCTGCTAGGAAAGTTTGCTTCATTTTGTTGTGCCAGACAATTCTTCTCATCAGAATCCATCTTGCACATTTATAAATCTACCATTTGTCCATTCATCAAATACTACTGCCATATCTGGCTTGTTGCTCCTACTATATATCTTGAGATTCTTGATAAAATTCCAAGAAGGATCTGTAATGTAATCAATCCTGACCTGGCATCTTGTCTTCAGTCACTTTCTCACCATTGTGATGTGGCTTCCCTCTGTCTTTTCTACAAATATTTTTTATGACAGTTGTTCTGATGAGCTGTTCTCCTTAAAGAATTTAAGTGTGCTACTAGATTGGCAACTAGATCTCACTGTTTTACTATTGAACTAGCTAGATGCAAACATCAGTTCTAATCTAATAGTTTCTTTTCTCACAATTCTTGCCTATGGAATTTATGATTTCTTGCTTCCCTGTCATCTACAATCTTCAAAACTTTAAATGCAATGTCAATTGCCATCTTCTGCCTTGCTGAATGTTGTTCCTTCACTATCATTTTCCTCACTTCTCCTCATTCATTTTCACTCCCAGTAACACCCTACATCCTAGTAGCCTTGCTTGGGTTGAAATGATTAAAAAGAAATATCAGAGTTGGTGCTGCTCTAATCCTTACTGTACAGCTGCAAGAGAGTTCAAAAGTGCTTATGCGACCTTGTGGGTGATTAATCATTCATCCTCCACCCGACAACCCTTATTCCACCAACTAATTATTATCAGTCTTTCACTACTATATTGCTATTACTATGGTAGCTAGGATCTGCCATACCATGTTGATGGTGATGGACAATCATTCCTATTCCATTTGTGTTTTTTTGATACTTCCACTCAGCTTCTTTCTCAGAACTGTTACTTTGTGGAACAAACTGTTGAGACCATGATTCCTTGACAACTACAATCTTACTCCAAATTAAGTCCAGGCTCAACTTATATCTATCTTACTCATCTTTGTAATATTCACTTATTTCCTCCTCCTCACTCACTTAAAACAATCTCACTTAGTAATCCTCTACTTTGAATGGCCCTATTGGGTGAAGTAATAGTAAAAAAAAAAAAAAAAAATATTGCCAACGAAAGTTGATTTCTTTTCTTTTTTCTTTTATAGATTTATATTCTATGTGTATAGTATAAAAGAATATAACAAGGTAGCCATTGTCCTGTTTCAAAGAGATTCCATAAAAATATTCTCGTTTCTTTGGCATAACTTCTCCCGGAATTAAAATCACATACTAGTGATGGTGCAAATCTTTGCTTTTCTAGGAAAATTTTGTCAGAATATCAAAATAAGCTCAAGATCACCATTGTAAGAACTGAATTAAATTCAGGCACTGACAGAAATTGATATTGTAATAAATTATCAATTAAACCATTTTGTTCTCGCTTACAGTTTTCTATTAGATTTTTAAGATAATTTTTAATAATTATTGAATTTAATTGGCATAAAATTTTATGAGTTTTTAATCATGAATACTGAGACCCACAAAATTTTGATATCAATTTCCCTCCAATAATAAAAAATCTGAACTTCAATTTTGAATATACTTACATTACTCAATATTACCCAGGCAACTAAATACACATTTCAAAAGTGCAATGTGTAACCATATTTGTATGCTGAACCATATGTAAATAATCTTGTATTTTTTTTATTGATATTTTGTCAGTATAGAAATAAAGATTACATACATAGGTACATCAAAAGTCTCTAGCCTAATGGTAAAAAAAGCATTTGTCTGACAGCAAATATGTTTCAATATAATCGTCTTCTTTGTCATTGCACTTAATTTGGTGGTGAATATTAATCACAAAAACAAATATTGTTCAGTGAAAATTTTAGATAAATACTCTGCTAATAACTATTTCTCAGGTTAGTCGGGTTTTAACCAATGTTTTACTTATAAGTTGACCCTCTTACCCATTTTCAAAAAATAAAGCTGCATCACTTTCAAGGGTCTATAAAGTTTTGAATGTCTCAACTGATTAACATAACATCTTTAATGCAGAAATAATTCAAAGTTTGAATCAACTCTTATGCAAAAATTGCAATGATTGTTTTTAACAGGTAAAGCTGCATGTTTATATAACAATCATCTAACTTGATTTTAGATTATTCTAAATATCTCAACTTTTTATTGAAAGATTATTTCCATCTAATTATAATCAAATATGTAATTATGAAACTACTTCACCTCAAAAATCAGAAAAGAATCCATTTTAAACTTTGGATGGAATGCTGTTTGTGTGTAAGGATGTACCTGCCTCTGACTTTGTTGTGTAAGATTGATAAGAAAAAATATGGTAATTAATGGTCAAATTGGCATCAAACAATAAAAAAAAAAAAAGAAATGAAAGGTTTTCTCTTGGTAATATTTTCTATTAATTACAGGTGATTAATTAAAAATTTAATAACTTGTTATTTTCAAATAATTAAATTTGCCTTTTGCTGCAGATATTTATCACTGTTGTGAATATTAATTTATGTAGGAATGCTTACATAATAGCAAACTTGGATTTTGTTAATTATGAAGATTATTTTAATCATTATTAATATGCTCTCCTCTACTACTTTTTTTATTTTGAAAATTAAAAATAATGGGAACATTTAAAAAATATATAGATTAAAAGTACTTAAAATTATTTTATTTTATTTTATTTTTTTATTTTTTTTTTTTATCATTAAGTTATATAATTTTTTTTTCTGATTATTTGAAAGACTTTAATAAATTAACCCTTGAAAATTATTTTGCTCCTTAACTGAATGAACTCAAAATCTTGAAAAGAGGTATAAAAAAAATCACTTTCTAATTTTGCTTGATAAAAGAACTGAAAGGTTTTATGAAATACTTGATATTTTATTCTGACTCATCAGTGCATTTTGCTGGAGTAGATTCTGGAGTTGAGGTTGGGGAAGGGATGTGAAAATGAGGTGATTAAGATTAATAATCCATTTGTAGTTCTGAGTCATTCACTTTCTTCTCTTATGGAAGCTAATCATTCAACTACACTCTTTTTCTGCACTGATGACATCCCAACTGAGCACTTCTCTTCAGGTGGTTTAATTTTGGGGATAGGGGTAGAGGAGAGAGATAAATGAGGGAGAAGATGAGGTTTTGTTAATTTACCACAAGAAAAATCATTTTCATTGAAATCTCTTGGTTTTTGAAAAAGTTAAGTTTTTGCAAAAATAGAATCTCAGGTTGTTTTTTATGGATAAGATATAAATAATCTACAATCTCTTTGGTATAAATGGGTGACATGTAAATAGACAAGAAATTAAGTAAGCACATTGAAATAAGAAGAGGAATGTGGCATATGTTTTCTCATAAGATTCTTTTAACATATACAGAGATATAATTCTATTGCTGATTATAACCATGACAATATATGCAATGCAGATGACACTGTGTAAATGGCAGATTCAGGAAGAAAAGAAAAGGACTATTAGACAAGGTAGTAAAGGAAAGTAATAAAAGCTGGTCATTAATTGTAAAATGAAATGCATGGTAGAAAACAAAAGGGACAGACCAAAATAGCAATAGAAAATGGATTTTTAAACTTGAATCCATGTACAGTAATTTGTTTTAATTCATAACTAATTAAACAAACTGAAGTATACTTCAATAAACAAAAAGTTTATTAGGGTGCCAGGGTATTGTAATTCAATAAACAAGAAGTTTAATAAAAGGTAAGGGGTGAATCTACATCATACTTATTATGAAACGCAGATTGTGTGTGTGTGTTTATATATTGGATCGGATTTCCTACATTTTTCAACCGATTTCAACAAAACTTCACAGGACTATGTAAAATTACCTTGCAGTGGTTCTGACAGCACCAAAAATTGGAAAAACACAATTGTTTTTGCATGAAATCAATTTGAAAACACGATTAAGAGGCATTGCTGTCACAAGAATGAAAGGGGGACAACTCATATAGAGTTACACTTATTATAAAACCCAGGTTGTGTGTTTGTGTGTGTTCGTTTATATATGGGATCAGATTTCCTACATTTTTCAACCGATTTCAACAAAACTTCACTTTTTTTTTTTTTTTTTTTTTTTTTTTTTTTTGGCAGGTAGTGTTTCTTATTGTCTTGCACACTTTTTTATTTTTATTCTTACATTCAGAATGATTTAAAATACCATTTACAAGACAATTGTTTATAATAAAATTGAAAAATTCTATTCAATCAGTAGACTCATAATGATTGAAAACAATGTTTTTGTTTCAGTTTGGGTTTGACCAATTCGTAAAAAAAAAACAAAACAAAAAATTAATTAAGACATGCATGTCCATCAACCTTAAACAATAATCTTTGTCAATTTTATTTTTCAGTCTTTATGATGGTCGATACTTGATCTATCTCTTACTGTTACATCCCCGGGCAATGCCGGGCTCTACTGCTAGTTGAATATAAGATTTATCATACCATTTTTTTTCACACTCCTGTACATAAGAAAACAAAAAAAATTAAATTTCCCCTCCTGAAACCATGAAATTTGCCTCTGAGAGATATCTCCCCCTGTCTGAAAATCCCTGATCTAGACACTGGAAATTCTGAAGTACATAGAAATAGCAAGATATTTTTTTTTTTAGAAATTGTGTAAGGTATTAAAGAATTAAAAAATAACAGGAGAAATGAAGAAAAGAGTTTTAGACTCTTCACACCTGCCAACTAGAATAGAAAGAAACTACTGCTAATATACTCAGTGACAGCTAAAATTTTTGACTCATATTTTTGGGAAAGAAGTCTTGGAGAATTTAACACTAACAGGGTACATGGAAGGCAAAAGAAGCAGCAGAAACAATGACTAAACTACCTGATGTGTTTGAGGAGTCAAAAAGAAAGTATTACTTGGTGTCAGTGAGTGAAATGAGTTGCATATTTGGCAGAATGATGTGTGCAGAGCAGCCATGCCATTTATACTCGCATTCACTTTTACTGATGTGTCCAGCAAAAAAAAAAAATACATGCAATACAGAGCTGCTGCCTTTTTCTTATTATCAAACAATTCTTCACTACAAAGGGCTTTTAATCAGGCTGAAAACTTCAGTAACCCTCCCCTTTTGTAATGTGTCAGTCAATCTGTGATTGATCGTTACCATAAGCCAAAATGATTTCTATTGAAGTGCAGGCAAAAGTCAATGATGATTTTCAATCTAAACAAGCAAACCTTTCTTACTGCAGCGATAGCTTGATGTGAAGAATTTCTTAAAACCCTTGGGTAGAGTCAGTAATTTTTATGTTAATATTTTTATTCAATTTATATCTGTTTGCTATTCTGACTTTGGTTTTCAATAAGTACTTCTATATTTAATACAGTGCTTTACACACACATACGCACACACTGTTCACTGTCTTGTCTTCATTCCAGTCTGCTTTGTTTCTTGCTCTTCTAGAAATAGCCTGATAAATTCTTCATTCCATTGTAAAGAAAGATGATCTCCTGACGATAAATATGTCAAGAGATTGTGCCAGGAAGGATATCTTGATTCCAGTAACTACTTCTTTACAAACAGTATGGCTTCTTCACAAAGATGAAGAAAATTAGTGGTATGTGATGTTAACTAAATTGACTTGTCCATGTTTGGGATAAGAGTGATATTCTGCTATTAGTGTGCTCATTTGAAAAAAAAAAAAGTTAACCAAAATTTATGATTATCTTGCAGTAAAAAAACGGAAAACCTTCAGTCTAAATTCTTAGCATTAAAATGTAACTCTATTATTTATTTGTGAATTATAACTTTGTTTAACCCCCCCCCAAAAAAAAAACCTATGTTTTTGACTTAATTTGTATTGAAAGCTTTGGCTTAACCTATTGCTATTTGATATATTTATTTTTAATTTATGCTTAGTAGAAAAGAAAATTGACCATATATTCTGTAATATGTGTATAATCTTTTGATTTTGTGTTCTCATTCTAGAGTGTGTAGTTGCTAATTCCATTGTAGAATAATATATTTGCCAGCCTGTAAGATGTATCAATTGGCAATGACTATTTTCTTTGCATATCATCAAAATAATTCTGACCCTCTGGCTGTATATTTTGAATTTTGTTATTTGGTTTCTTATCTATTATACCAGCACATATTTTAGCAGAACTAAGAAAAATGCAAAAAAATAAAAAGTATTTTAATGTCAACAATATTTGAATCCAGGTAAATGGAAGACATTTTTTCTTTTTAATTGCTTCCTTCTTGCATTATTGCTCCTCCATAACACATCTCTCGCCATTTAGCTTTCCTCATCTTTTGCACAAAATGTTTGTAGAAATGAGGGAGGCTAATTTTAATAATTAAATACTGAAATATTCACATTTTTTTACCTAAAATATGTTTAACAAAGTTTTTAGTGCTCAATCTGTATATTGTTCATTAAACATCAGAAAGAAAGGGATTGTCAGTCGTGAGGAGTTGATACAAACATTTTTGATTGAATGTAACTATTATATATAGAAAAACTACTAATGATTATACTGTAGAAATGCATTGAAAATAAGGAAGAAAGTGATAGTCATTAGGGATTAAGGAAAGCAATGCTTATAAAATAGTTATTTGTATTGATTTTTTTTGCCTGTCTGTGTCTTTTGTATAAATACTTTACTGGTAATTGTCCAGTTGAGCTCTTCACTATGGTACATATTGTAAATATGGGGACTAGTTAGTATTTTCATAGAGACAATGAGGTATTATGGTGGATGTAGTAAGAAAGGTACGTATGAATGTGTTGTTTTGGTGTAAGGAATATTGTTTGTATGATTGGGTCAGTGTTTGCGGCTAGCTAAGTTATAGTTAAGACAGAAGAAGACCATCCTTTCTCCAATCCTCCCTATGGCCTTGTGCCACATTTTTGTATTGCACAGAATAAATATCGCTCTTCACTATGGTACCTAGACTTTTTGAATTTAAGTGCAGTACTAGACTGGCGTCAAGATCTCATCAATTTACAGTTGAGCTGTAGCCATAAATTCTATGCTAACAGTTTTTTTCCTCACTTGTGGAGCTCCCATCCAGCTAACTTCAATTTGGAAAAATTTCAATGCAGTGTCAATCGCTATCTACTGTCCTCTTGATTACTCTTCCTGCTCATTATTAATGTTTCTGTTCCTAATTCTTCCACACCCTATAACCCCTTGCGTCTTAGTGGCTTTACTGCCTTGCATGGGGTGATACTGATTTAAGAAAATATGTTTACATGCGCGCGCACACACACACAAAATCTGTGAGGGGTACAAAACATTTTATTATTGCTGTAAACATGGACATGTTAAGGTATGTGTAATATAATAACAAATGTAAGCAAACCACAAACAAGGGGAAAAGAGCAAGGATAATAAAATAAAGTTGCTTCAAAGAAAAGAATTAAAAAAAAAAAATTCAAGAATAACCTTGTATATTACAAGTTTACTTTCACAGAATCCTATACTTGCTGGGGCTCATTTTGTCCAAGACAGCAGAAACTGAATCTTATTTGGTCTCAATCTGAGTTACAATCAGAAATTGAGTTGTCACTAATGTGTTAGTACATAATAGCTACCCATTGGATGTTGTGCTGCTGCCAAGATGGCCCAATTTGAGAAACACAAATTGGCTGACCCAGAGAACTGTCCTGTGAATTTGCAACACCCACAGATTGATAAGGATAGCACTGGATTTGCTAAACAAAACTCCGTGTTAAATCTTGCTACTTTTCCAGTAAAGCCTTGACTAGTCTTTTTGTCCCAACCTGTGTTGAGAGCTGTTAGTAAGGATGTTCTTCTGCCACATCATATAAACTGTTAATTTATAAATATAAGTCTCAGTATGAAGGTGAATATATAGGGAGAAATCAACAGTTGGAGACACAAATCAATTAGCATGTGCCAGCTAAGATTCATCAGGGCATGTACGATAGTCTGCTGGTGAACATGTTTGGTTCATTAATTGCTGAACATTTAATGAATAATCCAGGTTGTGCAAAGTTGTTTACCTGAGATTCCTTTACAATAATCACCAAAGTACACTCTAATTACTATCTATATTAATAAAGTGTTGTATACATGTATCCATCAATCCATTTTTTGATCTCAACAAAACTAAGGTAACCTGCAGTTA